ATACTTATGTTTTGCTTTTTCTTATTCAATACAATGAAATCGTAAATATTTCTCGTTCATTTTTGATCATAGCAATTTCTTTAAATCCTAAACCTTTCTGTTTAAGTCCGGGTTTAAATAAAGTCCCAGATTTTCAGCCTTTTGAATCCCATTGCATTTTGCATTGCATTGCATTTTTGGAGCTTTGTGATTGAAATCGAGGCTGTAATTACCTACAAAGCAACTAATAGCTTGTCAAGCAGGCTTATAAAGACATGTAGGGAAATTGTTTGCTTTCCCTTCAAAAATTGAAATAAGTTAAACTAAAATAAATTACTATAATAATATTTGATTCAATACTCCATAATCTCCATAATCAAACTCATGAATGCATTCTTTAGAAATATACATAGCGGCAAAACGGCAGCTATAGAAAGAGCCACACATCTGACAGATTGACCTAACAATGTGCTATTTTTTTACAGCCGTTACAGCCACAACAATCCCCTCAACATTCGCCAAACCACTGTCCAGCTTTACTCAGTGGTGGATATGGCTAGCGTCGGCAGTTGGATGCGCAGTACTTCTTGTGTCAATTGTTGTCATATGCATCTTGACTCGCAAACCTGAAGGTACATCTACAATGATTCAATGTTGCATTTTAAAAAACTGTATCGCCAAATATTGTTTAATCCTAAACTAATTTATTTAACAAAAACAATGTTAACGTAACTTTGACCAAAGTTAACTTTAAGAACCTACAGTTCATTGTGCATCCCACGTTGTTTTATACACTGAAAAAAAAAATTTGGTGTAGAAACAATTTTCACTCATAAATATCTAGTCAATTTTACAACTGATTACAAAGAAACGGCAAACAAAACATTGAATTAAATTTTGAAAGACTAAAATAGTATTTTTTGTGTAAAATGTTCTCCAATAATCTTTGTTTTATTTACAACGTCGACAAATATTTTTACAGTGTATTTTATGTGGCGAAGTACTTTGATAATGATTATTTCAAATGATGCATGACATAAGCATCATAAATCATTACAATGTAAAATCACCATACGAATGATGTTTAAAAAAGCTAACTTTACTCTCAAGCCAACACACATAATGCTAAAGCCTTGTGGTTATGAATATCTACAGCCTATAACTATATATTTTTTTTGCTATAAACTGAGGCAAGATCAAGATTATTTCTTGCTGAAATCAAAATTATGCCACAACAATCCTTTAAAAGTCACACAGACTGATGGGGTCTTCATGCGAGACCCCACTAAGAAACAACAATGCATCCTCTTTGTACAAGGTCAAACATTTCCTGGGTCGCAAACTGAGTGCTAAATGAGTGTGGGTGGCATGTGGTTCAGCGCTATGAGAGTGAGCTCAGTTGATGACGATTAAACTGCCTTTCATTGTCTGTGGTTAGACTCGAGCAGTTAGGTGCAGCGTGCACAGCAAACCGTTTTCCTCCAGACCCTCAGTGTGGCCTGTGCTTTGTACTGTTAACCATTTGATGCAACTCTACAGTAATGTTATGTGTTTCTAGAGATCATTTATGAGAACACCAAACCAGTGGAATCGAGCTGCTGGAGGCGAAACCGGACTAAGATGGACATCTGCGACCTGCCTTCGTCCAAAAAAACTGACACCATTAAACCGCTAAGGAAGTACGACACTCTTTCAAGCAACAGAATCCGAAGGCCATAAGTCTTCCATATGAAAGAATTACCTTCTGAAAACACATTAAATATATGAAATACCTTACTGTACACACATATTTAATTTTGTAATGTAGCATTTCCCGATAGATGGGAAGCTGTAAATATAAAGCTGTTTCTTTTTTCTTCAGAAAGAGATACATGAGAAAACCTGATTTTTTTCCTTTAATGACTTTCAATTGTATCATACCGAAACATTCTGTGGTTACAAATAAACGTGAAAACCACCAAAAAGAAAAATCTGTCACACTTTTTTCCACTCACAATTAATAATACATTATCATTATTGTGACAGCACAAATTGGTCTATGGTATTTTAGAACCTACATAAAGATTAGTCAACCATGATTAGATAACAAACCACATACTGTGACAGCAGCAAATGCGGGAAGAAAATAAGGAACTGAGGTGTTTCATAGTTATGAATCATTAATTCTTATGTAGTCATTAAAGGAACTGGGAATTTTCTGTGAACGCACATTTTAACATGGGCCTACTGTAACTCACGTCAAGTTATAGACCTTAATTAGGTCAGACGCCATAATGACTTTAAAACGAGGCTGTGAAGGAGACAATGGTACACACTGTATAATGGTAATTTCACAGCTCATAACTTTAAAGGTGGGGTAAGCGATTTCTGGTAGTCAATGTTGACATTT